GGGGAAACAGGCCTAGAACACTGGCTGGGGAAGGCTTTGAGGTGGGAATGATCCAGAAGCTGAACAAAGGCCATTGTGGCTGGAGGGAGTAGGCAGATGTGTGCCGAGGGGGGAAGGGGCCCATGGAAAAGACTTGAGTCAGAGAACCTTGAAGAGAGTTTGAGCAGGGGCCCAGCCTTTCAAATATGCCTGCACCTCCCCACGGTGATGAAGAGGCGCCGGGCATCTCAGAGGAGCTGGGTCCACTGGGACTTGAGCCTGGGCAGCCCCAGGAGACAGGAGTGGCTGGGATTTTTAAGCCCACTCCTCACTTTTGAGCAGTTGCTGGCCCTACCCAGTTCCCACCCAGAGCCCACTGTCCTCAGAACCATGCTTCCTGCGAGAGCCACTGTCCACCCCAGAAAGGGTGGCCAAGGATGCAATTTGCATCTAAATGGTTGCTTTTCTCTAAGGGTTGGAGCTACTTTGCATATTCATGACTCACGGAGTTTGTGTTCTTGGGGCCCTGGGTATTTTTTTCATTGGATAGCCCCCACTTCAGCTGGTGAATGAAGGAATGAAGCCTGGGGAATGGAGATTTGGAGGTTGTGCAACTTTGGAAAAGCTATCACCGGCTGCTGCTGATCTGGGAAAGAGTTTAATGTCAGGAAACCTTGTAACCGTATGAGCCCAGCAGGCAGGAAGTGCGCTGCGGCTGTAGCAGGAGTGAGCTGGGACCTCGTGTAACTGCCTGCATTGAGGACCCCGGCTTCTCAGCCCCATTCTGGGCCGCTGCCTGGAATGATGTATCAGGGGATTCCACTGGGGGGGGGGGCGGTTACAGAAGGAAGAGGAAAGGGGCCAGATCCCAGGTGTGCCGTGAATTCCTCAGTCCTCCCCCACGCCCGCTCCCCAGACAATAAGAAGCGGGTCCTGTGTGCCTGGCACTGAGGGTGTTTCACTTCACGTGGTTTTGTCACACCCTCTGTTTGAGGCCTACGAGTGTCATTTTCCCCATTTTGCAGAAGAAGACACTGAGGTTCAGAGAGGTCAGGTGACATGCCCAAGGTCACACAGCTACAAAACCAAGTTCTCTCTGGGGTTCCTCTCCCTAGATCTTCCTCTAGAGGAGATGTGCCAGGTGTGCATAGGGACACGGCACCCACCTGCAGGGCGTATCACACCCCACCTGCTGTGTGACCTAGCATCCTCCCTCCACCCTTGCAGGACTCCCATCACCATCCAGCTGGTCCTGATTCAATGGGGACCCCTCTATAAGGTTTCCAGGACCGCCGGTCTTCATGGGGAACAGGCAGCTTTCTCCCTGGGAGCAGCTGCTGCATTGTAACCGCTGGCCACAGCCCACTAGGGCTCCTCCTTAGAGCAGTGGTTCTCAACCTTCCTAATGCCGAGACCCTTTAATACAGTTTGTCATGGTGTGGTGACCCCCATATGTGGGTAACTGTATGTGGGCAGACCCACCTGGAGACGGATAGAAGAGCAGTGTCTCGGTTCCTAAGACCATCAGAACTAGGGTCTTAGGTGACTCTTGTGAAAGGGTTCTTCAACCCCCAGGTTGAGAACCGCTGTCTTAGAGAAAGTGGGTTTGAGGTACCTCTGACCAACTGGGATGGCGTGGCCTTGGATCTTTGCTGGTAGCAGGCCAGGGGAGGCCGGTTCTAATGGCGCGTTCCCTAGCGGGTTTGTCTATTTGGATCTCCCTGCAGAGAGTGTCTGGTGCCTTGTGAAAGGTCGGGCGTCAGAGCACCCAGCCTGGCCTTGAACTCTCAAGGCTGTATTCAAGGCTGTGACCTTTCCAAGGCAGATCGCCAGGCCCTTCTTCTGAGGCACCCAGTCATCCCAACTTCTGGCTGAGTCATCAAGTGCTTAACTCTTTGTGTCACCCAGGGACTCTTTTCCGGAACCCCAGTTTGTTTTCATCATCCCAGAAACCTCTTGAGGTGGGTGCTGGTCTCACCCTTGTTTTGCCACTGAGTGAATTATAAGTATAAAGCAAGAGAAGTTGCTGCCAGCATCACTGGGTGCTAGCCAGGTGATAAAATGTGCACCTGGGAGGTCTGGCTCCCAAGTTCAGCCTCTTCACAGGGTGCCCTGGAGAGGGCCAGGCTGGGGACATCAGGCTACAGAAGTGGTCTCCACACAACTGCCCTGTCCCCCTCCCCACCCCCTCACAGGAGGGGTCTTGTCTGCAAGACCCTTTTGTGGGGACATGGAGCTGTTTCTTCACCACCTGCCAGGGGCTTTGGGCCCCTCTACAGATCGGGGGTGTATTTGTACGTGTGCTTGTGCCTGTGCTGTACATGTGAATGTGGTGAACTTCAGAGTATCGGAATGAGGCTCATGTTCTAAGCCCGGCTGGCAGCCGAGTGATTAGCATGGGAGCCAAGTCTCAAGGCCGCACACACTAATTCTTCTCTTGGCTCCTTCGGACGAGACGCACGCCTGCGTCCCACGGGCTTATTGCCACATATTCATCTCATCCTATCAGGCCTGCCTCGGGCTAGCCCACAACCTCTAAATGGGCATTGCTCGCTTTGGGGAGCTGCAGAGTTACCAGCCCCGGTTGGTGGGGGGTGGCAACAGGTGGCTAGCGTAGCAGGGTGGAGGGGTTACGGCAGTGGGGAGAGGAAGGTGCCCAGGCCAGGGGCCAGGCTCCCCCTGCTACATCTGTCCTCCTCTCCCTACCTGGGGGTATCTACCGGTCAGTCACCTGCTGGGCTTGTTGCAACACAGACGGGTAAAGCCACCCCGAGTGTCTGAGTGCTGTGAGGGTTCAAGACTGCTTATCAATTCATTCAGCAACTGGATCCTGAAGCCTTCCTGTAGACAAGGCACTGGAGAACAAGACCTAGCAGAAGAGGAAGGAGATCATTGAAAAGTGCCGCCCGTGCTACAGAGACCACGATCAAAAGACTGCATGACCGAGGGAGCGGGGCCCACTTCAGAGGGACCGGCCAGCAGAGGGCCTGCCAGGTGATATTTCTAGAGCCTTCGGCTGCAGTGGCAACTCGGGAACAGTACAGACAGTCCCCCGACGAAATTCAGCTCCTAAATCTGTCTCTGAATTGAGTATGTACATACAGTTTGTGTCTGATATCAGTCAAATGTTGCCTTCGTGCACGAGGTGCCTTTCTGTGCATGAAAGAGCATCAGACACTTCCAGGTGCACTGAATCATCTCTGACATAATCCTGTGGTAGTGACAATGTCTGATGGGGTTGCAGTGCTGCCTCCAGTTGGTAGTACCAGCCATGGTTCGTACCTCACATTGTCACTATCATAGACTGTGTAGCGGTGCGCTGCCTCTCAGTTGGACCAACAGAACCCAGCGCTTGACTGCTCTACTGTTTTCTAGCTCTCTGACCTGGACAGGCCAGCTGACCTCGTCCCACAGTATCCTCTCTGGGGAAAGGCCAGTTGCAATAGCACCCACCCCACAGGACCAGCGTGCAGATAGCCTAAGATGCTGCGCGTGAAGTCCCAAGAAGGGTGCCCGGAACAAGGAGGCTCTGTGTTCTTCCTGCCAGAGCCCCTTGGGGGGTCACACCATTAACTTGAAATGTGAACAAACTTAACGGAGGCTGGCAGTTCAGGTCCAACCAGGGGGGCTGCAGAGGAAAGGCCTGGCAGTCTGCTTTCACAAAACCAGCCATTGACAACCGCGTGGAGCTCAGTTGTATTCTGACACACACAAGTCACCATGCGTTGAAGCAGTGGCTATTACTTTTTGATGCTGCTGCCAACATGGCTGTGAAAGATGGCCGCCAGGCGATTCTGAATCCCAGCAGAAGCCCCAGACAAGCCAGACTCAACTTCATTCTGAGGCCAACCTGCCAGGAAATTGTTCCACACGGTGGGGTGGCTGCTATCTCTTGGAGGTCCTTGCGTCTTGGCACTGAGTGAGGAAGGCTTTCTGAGAGAAGAGGTCACATGACTGGGGAGGAGTATTAGGACTTGTTGGTTGACAAGGGACAGAAACTCGGCTCAAACGGACTTAAGTCAAAAAAATCAGGGGTGGGGGTGGTTTACATGGCCGCCGTAACTGCGAAGACCAGGCCCTGCTGTAGACATGACTGGGCTCAGGCATTTGGCGGGTCATGATTGAGACTCCTCGCCAACACTTTGCTCTTATCTCCAGGTGAACTTTACTCCCCTGTGTCCTCCTGCAGCTCCAGGAGGACATCCTTCTAGCATCAAGGGTGGGGCCTGTCCAGCCCCCGGGCCCTATAAGGTCCGAGAAATCATCAGTACTATCTGACATCACATGCTTCAACAAGGGGAAGCTGTTGCCGCCATCAAATCCACAAGCAAAGACACTCTCTGCCACGGAGTCAATGCCAACTCAGAGCAACCCTATAATAGGGCAGGAGAGAACTGCCCCTGCAGGCCTCCAAGACGGTCACTGTTAATGGGAGTAGAAAGCTCTGTCCTCCCACAGGACACCTGGTGGTTTCAAAGTGTTGACCTTGAGGCTCCCAGCCCAACTTATAACCACTACACCACTAGGGTTCTTGCTACACCATCACCTTAGGAGTGAGTTCATTCAATGTTTGGCCAGTTTGACCCTCTGATGGGGTTATACATATCCAGATGGCAGGACAAGGTCCCCCCACCCTCCAGAATCTAGTTTATCAACCCCAGCAGAAAGTGAAGACCTCTTTCCAATAAATTCCAGCAAAACATCTTAGGGGTGATTCTCGTCGGTCTGGTCCAGGCCTGCTGCCTGTCTGCGGACCCATCACTGTGGCAAAGGTGGGACAATACTCAGATGGCCAGGTCTGAGTCAGGGAAAGCAGGTGTGGGTCTGTTTCCTGAGGCAGAAAGGAAGGCAGCCTGAGACCCAGACTGCGGCCTGAGGAATGCAGCACACATTCAGAAGCAAGGCCGCCATTCCAGTGGGCCATCCCCACGGGTGTCCTGTGATTGGAATGCCAGCCGGGAAGGGGGCGGGTGGGGAAATGAAGTCCACATTGGCAGCTAGGTTTGGAGAGAGGCGAGCCCTCTGGGTCAGTGAGGAGAAGCAGCTGCCCTTTGAGTTGTCAGATGTTTACCAGCCTCCAGGAGCTCCACCCGCTAGCTGCCAGTAGCAATTTAACAACCAAAAATATCCCGAAAAGAAACCCGGACCAAGCCAGTTACGTCGGTTGAATGAATTCCAACTCGTGAGGCTGGGCTGCCAAGCGAAACTGCTCCAAGAGGTTTTCAGGGCTGTGACCTTTGGAGAAGCGGATCGCCAGGACTTTCTTCCAAGGCACCTTTGGGTGTGTGTGAACCTCCAGCTTCTCTGGTTGTGGCTGAGCATGGAACTAAGCGTCCGTGGAAGGGTTGACCAGATCAGGATGACAGAGATCCGCATGGCTGCTTGTCATCCTCCCCGCTACCCTCCGGAGGGGGTTAGTTGCTTGTGAACCAGAGGGCCCACGGGAGGTGGTTCTTGTACTACTGGCATCTGCCATCGATGACCTGGCTGAGGGAACCCGAGTCCCTCCACCATGCTGGTGAGTGGATGGCATTTTGCTCCGACGCATCCAGTTCTTCAGCGCTGGTTCCCAGCAGGCTGGCGGGGCTGGGTACCACGCAGGACCATGGAGGAAGGAAAGTGTCCACAGCATGGACCCCCTATCCGAAGGTGGGCCCCAGGAGTTAATGCCAGTGAGCAGTTTTTGTTTTGTTTTTTTAATTAATTATTAATTGGGAGTTAGTACAGGTATCATATCATTCCCTAGTTCAATCACATCAAGCAGTATTATACAATTGCTACCACAATCAGTTTCAAAACATTCTTTTTCTCCCAGAACTTTTTGACATCGTCTCCTTTTCCAATGTTACTGTTTTTCTTTTTTTTTATTAAGAGATTATTTTATTGGGGGTTTTTACAGCTCTTATAACAATCCTTACTCAATTGTATCAAGCATCTTTGTACATATCTTGCCATCATTATTTTCTTTTTGATCCTTTGGTATCTATCAGCTCCCCTTTTCTTCCCTCCCCCAGCGAGCAGTTTTAAGAGCTATGTCTCTTAATGTGCTGAATGTTCTCCAAACCAAGTCTTTAAAGCAGTGGTTCTGAACCTTCCTAATGCCGCGACCCTTTCATACAGTTCCTCATACTGTGGTGACCCCCCACCATAACATTATTTTGTTGCTACTTAATAACTGTCATTTTGCTACAGTGATGTTTTCCAATGGTTTTAGGCAACCCCTGTGAAAGAGTCGTTCAACCCCTAAAGGGGTCGAAACCCACAGGTAGACAGCCAAATAGGTTAGGAACTGCATAGTTGTGTGTGGACAGAGCATACGCTGCCACGATGGCAGGCCGTGTGACTAGGAAGCCATCAGGGACGGCCTCGGGAGTGGATCCTGGTCTTCCCTTGCCAGAGCAGGATGCTGGGATACTTGATACAGCACAAGGGTCCAGATGGGGTAGAGTGGGCCCCACAGGCTGGCCAAGGCTGCAATCCTGACTAAAGCAGGTGACCACACCTTTCTCTGGTAGGTGGCTGGTAGGTTCAAAGCTCTGACCCTTTGGTTAGGGCCTTGTGCTTACATACTGCATCACCAGGGCTTGGGGATGGGGAGGTGTCTCAAAATGTAATTCCACTGCAGCTCTCTCCCAATAAGGTGGGCGGATATCTCAGGGTGGTCTTTCAAGGGGGCCTGACCTGCCCCACCGGGATAGGATGGAGGAAATCCACCTGAGGGGGGCAGACTCCCCTCCAGAGGAAGGTTGGTGGTTCTGGAGTAGAACAGGAGCCTGAAGAAAGAGCCTTTCATTCCCTAAGGACTTCCTTCACACAGTGTGTGAGCTAGAATTGACACAGTGGGTCGCTGCCTAGGTCAGTTTTGCTTGCCTGTCCCCCCATCCCACCCCCCAACATTTGACTTCATCTTGGGGCATTTCTTCTGCCTCACAGCTGGAGGAAAAGGGCTACCAGCCCCTTGGGGGGGGGGAGTCCAAGGATGCTGCTTCAATCACACATACACACACATCACCTCAAAGAATGATTCCGCCGCAAAGACAATCATGTGGACCACGCTGAGAAAGCTAGGTGTACTGTACACTGACCTGCCAGGTGAAGGTCCTGCCCCTGACCAGGAAAGGAAGTGGAGGACGAAGAACCAAAGATATGGGCAGAAGAAACCGACCAGGGGCTCCGTGGACAGTAATGGTGTGACCTTGGCCAGGGTCTGAGCTGAGGACCCAAGCACCGAGATCAGTGGCGGAGGAGCAGTGTCATGCAAGGAGGGGCACAGGAAGGGGTGACAAGAGGCCTGAGGTACGCCAATGACGGGGCTTTGGCCTGAAGACCAGACCTGCAGGGCCGGGGGTGAGGTTGGCCAGGACACAGCTGAGTCGCCTGATTCTCAGTAGGTCCGGTCTGTAAGGCACGGTGAACGTTGAGCACATTCATGCTGGACCTGCATGTGCACCAGCTGACCTGTGGCCTTCACACCTCTGCGCATGCCCGTAGTTTCAAATGCCCCGTACCTGAGGTGTGGGTCTGGGGGTCACGAGTACTTTTGTAGCAAGTGATGGATTCACAAATACGGACCCTCTGAATACTGAGTGCCACGGAGGCCACGTGTGAGGCTTCTAAAAGGGGGTGGTCGTTTCTAGGAGTTGGGTCATGACTTTGGCTCCCCCATCCCCCAGGACCCTGTTAGCCATTGGGGGCTGAAGGTGTTGCTCCGCCCCCGTCCATCCCAGCAGCCATGGGTGATCATTACTGAGGCTGAAGAGGTCTTGTCTGTTTTTGAGAAGTCAGACAGACCAGACTGGTGTCAAGTTCACCGCCTACAAAAGGAGGTAGAGAGGCACTGAGTGCCCCTCCCTGCCTTCCAGTCAGCCACCCAGAGGTGGTTCCTGGTTAATGAGGCCACCGGGTGAGGGAGGGAGTTCAGCAGCCCGGATCTGTGTTGTCTTGGTGTGAGTGCCTTTTGTAGCTCCGCTTCCCACCACTCCCCATGGCTCCCTGGCCCGTCAGGGAATTCCTTGGTTCCTCCAAAGTGCCCTGAGTTTGTAGCTCGTGTGCCAGCCAGATGCAGGGTCGTTTCTTGTACTTGGGCAGGCTCTTTGCTCTGGCTGCAAGTGCAAATGGGCCCTAGCCTGGGCCTCCTCTGCCCTGTGGGGTCCTCGCTGCCTCAGCCAAAGGGTGCTTTTCCCCAATGCACCCATAGGTGCCAGACGGGCTAAAAGAAACATTGCTCATATAAATTCCGACTCATAGTGAGCCTACAGGACAGCATAGAACTGCCCCATAGGGCCCTAAAGCCGTCCTCTTGACACAAGCAGACTGCCACATCTTTCTCACCCCGAGAAGCTGGTGGATTTGAACCACCGACCTTTGGGTGAGCAGCCTAGCTCTCAACCCCTGCATCACCAGGACAGCCTTCCCCTATGGGCCATCAGATATGTAAAAAGAAACTGAGGAGGTAGGTGACTCACCACGAATTGTTCTTTCTTCCCCGCCCGCCACCCTTCTCCTGGAACGGATGGACTCCAATCTCAGAGAAAGATGAGCGCCCACCAGGCCCCCGCCTTGCTCCTGTTCTTCATGCTCGCCGCCGGGGCGGCGGAGAACGCCAGCACATCCCGCGGCTGCGGGCTGGACCTCCTCCCGCAGTACGTGTCCCTGTGCGACCTGGACACCATCTGGGGCATCGTGGTGGAGGCCGTGGCCGGCGCCGGGGCCCTGATCACGCTGCTGCTGCTGCTGATCCTGCTGGTGCGGCTGCCCTTCATCAAGGACAAGGAGAAGAGGGACCCCGTGGGCCTCCACTTCCTCTTCCTCCTGGGGACCCTGGGCCTCTTCGGGCTGACGTTTGCCTTCATCATCCGGGAGGACGAGACCATCTGCTCGGTGCGCCGCTTCCTCTGGGGCGTGCTCTTCGCGCTCTGCTTCTCGTGCCTGCTGAGCCAGGCGTGGCGTGTGCGCAGGCTGGTGCGCCACGGCAAGAGCCGCTCGGGCTGGCAGCTGGCGGGCGCCGCGCTGTGCCTGATGCTGGTGCAGGTCATCATCGCCGTCGAGTGGCTCGTGCTCACGGTGCTGCGCGACGCCAAGCCGGCCTGCGCCTACGAGCCGCTGGACTTCGTGCTGGCCCTCACCTACGACATGGTCCTGCTCGTGGCCGCCCTGGGGCTGGCGCTCTGCACGCTGTGCGGCAAGTTCAAGAAGTGGAAGCAGAACGGGGCCTGCCTCCTGGTCACCACCTTCCTCTCCGTGCTCATCTGGGTCGCCTGGATGACCATGTACCTGTTTGGCAACGCCGAGCTGAGGCAGGGAGAGACCTGGGGGGACCCCACCTTGGCCATCACGCTGGTGGCCAACGGCTGGGTCTTCGTCATCTTCCACGCCATCCCGGAGATCCACTGTGCCATCCTCCCGGCCCCGCAGGAGACCACGCCCAACTACTTTGACACGTCACAGCCCAGGATGCGGGAGACGGCCTTCGAGGAAGACGTGCAGCTGCCGCGGACGTACATGGAGAACAAGGCCTTCTCCATGGACGAGCACAGCGCAGGTGGGTCGGGGCCCGCGGGAGGGCCCTGCTGCTCTTCCCGAGGGACTCAATGCCCCATTCCAGGCACTCATGGGGGTCCCCCAAACCAGCCCTGGGCATGGAGTTTTACTCTCCTTTTTTATTTCTCCCCTGTACCAATTGCCAACTAATTGAATACAGAATTCTAGATTTTTTATTTAAGAAGTCACAAGTGGCCATGCTGGGCCAACATCGCCAACATCACCCCTACACATACACACACAGAGCCAAAGCTGCCCCTTTTGCTGACCACACCACCCCCTCCTGCCCCTGGCCCTGTCACTCTGACACTCATGCTCATCCCTGGACTATTTGGTGGACAATGTATGTGCCAGGTGGCAGCAGTGGACTGCGAGGGTCAGTGCTCTTGTCCCTTCCCCACCTCAGACACCGAGAATGTAGGAATTTGGACCCGGGGTCAGGTGTCTGGGTCCCATTCTTGGCTCTGCCCATTCCTAGATGTGTGGCTTTGAGAATATTACTCAGCCTCTCGGAGCCTTCATTTTTCCTCTCTGTGAAACAGGCATGAGAGTCTTTTGGGTAGAGACATGAGGCAGTGATATCATAATTAGCGAAACGTCCCTGCAGATCCTGCCCTGTGGCATGTGGTCCCCTTGATAGTGGAGCCTGAGGTGACAGCTGGGTATGGGCAGGTGGCAGGGGAGTCGGGCACACCAGAATGGCAGAAACACTACCCTGAGCAGTTGTGCCTCAGTCTTGCCAGGGGCCCTCTGGGGACTCTGGAATTAGTCTCCTCAATGACCCTCTGAAGGACAGGGCCTGGGGCTTTTAACTACCCCCTCCTAGTTCCCACTGTCATGATCACCCCCCCTCATCCTGGTGACTAGCTGGACACAACCCCTGGCCTTACGGCAGTGTTGTCTGGGTGCACAGGGCTGCAGGCTGCTGCAGGCCGACTGGCGGGGAGGGGGGAATGGGATGTAACAGGCACCTGGACACCTTCTGTCAGCAATTACAAAGTGGCTAAGGAGTATTGATTAGGTTCTCAGAACTCAAAATCAATAACGGTGTCATTTCCCTGTCACCTCAAGCATATCAGGGACTTCCAGAGGGACCCGCATCGAACCACTGCTTTCGAGTCTGTGCTAGTGTGTAGCCACCCTACAGGCAGAGTAGATTTGCCCCACGGGGCTTTCTAGGCAGTTATCCTTACGGAAGCAGACTGCCACTCTCCCTCTGTGCAGCCAGGGCTTCAGCTAAGGGCCTGACCACTGGGCCACAGCAGCCCTTACTGTAATGATGGAAGGAGAAGAAGGGTAGTTCTTCCCAGTCGGAGCAGAGCTCGAAAACCAAACCGCTCATGCCCTCAGGATTCCACTTTGCGGCGGCCCTGTGTCTCACAAAGCCAGTGAGCGGCGCAGGGTCTTGTGGGCTGTGACCTTCAGAGGCAGTGCTGTGGGGAGGAGCTGAGCCTGCAGTCTTGACTCACCGTGACCCTGTAGGATGGAGTAGCATTGCCCCTTTGAGGTCCCACGGCTAGTGTCCTAGGGAAGCAGACTGCCACAGCTTTCCCTTGGGTGGCTGGTGGGTTTGAACTGCAGTTTTCAGTGAACAGCCAGCCCTTTAACCACTGTGCTACCTAGGAGTAGCAGCTACAAAGACAAATGCACAGCCACCAAGTTGACACAACTGAAAGCAAGCCTACAGACCAGAGTAGAGACGGCCCTACAAGGTTTCCTTTGGTTGGCAGTGAGCGCTTTAACCACTGTGCCAACAGGGCTCCTTCCAAAACCGAATGCTTTGCCATCCAGCTGATTCCGACTCAGGTAACCCAATAAGACGGGGTAGAACTGCCCCCCTGTGGGTTTCTGAGACTACAAACTCTTTAGGGGAGTAGAAAGTCCCACATTTCTCCCAAGGAGTGGCTGGTTTCAAACTGCTGACTTTGCAGTTAGCAGCCCAAGGCATAACCACTATGCCACCAGGCCTTCTTAGGAGTGGCATAAACCAACCAAATCCAAACCCACAACCATCAGCCTATTTAGGGTTTCCGAGGCTGTCAATTGTTATGGGAGCAGACAGATAGCCTCATCTTTCTCCTGAAGACCAGTCAGTGGTCTTGAACCACTGACCTTGCAATTAGCAGCCAATGCCTAACCCGCATGCCAATGTCTCCATTAGTGAGCGCTAGATGGCAGGTGCTGACAGATAGCCTCATCTTTCTCCTGAAGACCAGTCAGTGGTCTTGAACCACTGACCTTGCAATTAGCAGCCAATGCCTAACCCGCATGCCAAAGTCTCCATTAGTGAGCGCTAGATGGCAGGTGCTGTCCTAAGTATTTAACCGACGTGTATCCTAAGCCTCACGTCTGCTCGGTGAGGCAGGCACCACTGCAGTCCCTGGTTGACACGAACAGTCGGAGGTGTGAAGGCATTGGATCATTCCCAAGGACGTATGGCTGGGATGTGGCCCAGACCACAGACCCCTCCCTTGCTTTGTGCAGTTCGCCCAGGTGCCAGTAGCATGGGCAGTGCTGAGTTTGCTGGTCATGATGCAGGATTAGCCCTGCTCGCCCGCTGCAGGCTGTCAAAGGAACATGTGTGTCACCCACAATCTTCCTTCTCCCCGGGGTAGGACCCTACCTCCTGGCTCCTGCCATCCCTTACCAGCTGTCGATTTGTCAGATTGTTGGAGCCATATGAACTCCGAAGAAGGTTAAGGCACCTCTGTGGAAGCCTGCTAATCTGACGTCCTGGGCAGAAAGGCCAGAAGGCCAGCCTAGCTTTGCTATTCGGCTCTTACTCTCTCCCTTTCTTCAGAAAGGCGAGGCGCAGCGAGTTGTCCAGGAGGCAGGGCCAGGTTGGAACCCCCATAGGAGTGGGGAGAAGTGTCCAGGCCTTCATCCTCCACCTCTCCTAGTTCATGGCGTAGTGGTTTCGGTGAACTATTGGGTGGCAGGGGAATCCACCAGCTGCTCCTTGGGAGAAAGATGAGGCTCTCGGGTCCCCCAGATTCACCCTGTGGAGCAGTTCTGCTCTGTCCTATGGGGTCACCATGCATCGGAATGGGCTCCATGGGTCCTGGAATCCACCCAAGTGTCCGAAAGGTGAGGCTGTTGGACCCCAGGCGCAGCTGGGCATCCACCCTGGGAACCACGCATTAGCACTTGTGTGTCCGCCCAAGGAACATGGGCTCCCGGGTCGGTCAGCAGCCCCGCAGCTGGCTAAGGGGAGCTATGGGGGCTGCAGCCCTGTGTGTCACACAGGCATGCCCCACAGCCGGGCGGGGTCCTTTCCACCAGCTCCTTTCATTTCCCAAACCAAAATCATTTATTTTCCCTCTGCGGGTGATAAAGGATCGATGCTAATCTTGTAGAAGGTTCAAGTAAGGAAACAAGTAGAAACTGTCCAGAAGCATCCCCATGACCCCCGCCCCCAGGGCTACCAGGCGGCAATCAGAGTGCGCATGCCCACGCCCAGATGGCAGTGCTGGCGCAGGTAACCTGGGCTGTGCACGTGCAGCACCTGGCCACTTTCAGAACTTGCTGTTGCCTGCTGGCGGCTGGGAACCACTAAGCGTTTCGCAATATACCATATTTTCCCACTCAGTGGCCCTGGATGGGAGAGTTAAACAAACTCCCTGCCATCAAGTCAGTGCTGACTCATAGCGACTCCTGGGGGTGTTCCGAGACTGTCCCTGTTAAGGGAAGTAGAAAGCCCAGTCTTTCGCCCGCAGAGTGCAGGGCTACTAGTGGTTTCGAACTGCCAACCCTGAGGATCGCAGCACAACACGTAACCCACGGCACCACCAGGATGCCTATGAGGCTTTTGTTGGCCCTCGTCTTTGTAGGAGCCGATGGCCGGATCTTCCTCAGGCGAACCTCTTCTGTATTGGCTTCCTTCTGCCTTTCCACTACCACAAACAAGGAGCCCTGCTGGCACAACGGTTAAGCGCTCGGCCTAAAGGTTGGCAGTTCAAACGCCCCTATGAAGAGTGCCAACGCCGCAGAACACCTTCCAGGAAGTTCTCTTCTGTCGCCCGGGGTTACTGGGAGGCACCCACGGGCCCCAATAGCAACAAACAACTATTATTTCAAGAGTGAGCCCCCTTGGCCATTCACCTTTGTGCACTTCTTGGGAGGTAAATATATATATATATATATGCCTTAGAGCACAGGGTAGCATCTGCTTTACACCTTAGCCGTGGTGTTGGATGCTTGCCCAGAAAGAACTCATTTACCACTGCTCCTCACAGCTGTGTTCCAGCCCTGTCCCCTGCCTCCTCACCAGCTCAAGCTCCTGGATAGCGCAGTGAACCCCTCCACTGCGAACCCAAAGGTCAGAGGATCAAGGCACCCTGCCCCTTCTGGGGAAACCACAGCCGTCGCCAACCCTGTGCAGCGCAGTCTCACCCCCACCCCCCACCCCATATGCCCACGAGTCAGGGTCAACTCAATGGCAGCTGGTTTACTGGTTCCCAACCATGGATGTTGTCAGACCGTATTTCCCAATAGTCCTGTTTGGGTCTGCCAGTTCTCTGCTTGTGGAAGGAAGGAAAGCAACAAAATCGTTCCAGAACCAAAACTCACCTGGGAGCAGCAGGCAGGCCCCAGGCCAGGCCAGGCCAGGCGCCTCTGGGGGATTCACAGGACGGCTGATTGGAGTCCAGGCTACCATCCCTTTGTTCTAGAAACCCTTGCTCTGCTGCCTGGGGGACTTCTGGGCATGCTCCCTGGCCCGATGAGAATAGCTGTTGGCATCCTTGGTGTTGCCCTCAGCCAGCTTGTAATGTAGGGAGGGAGCCAGGCCCTGGCTGAGAGGGACCTTCCCCCTAGCCCTCGTGCCCAGACTTGTGCTGCGGCTTGTCCTGTTGCCCCTGCATGCCAGCCCTCCTGCCAGCCTCGGGCTCTTTCCCATCCAAAGTATCCCAGCACCCCCAGGAAAGGGCAGGGGCACCCCTGGGCTGTTCTGTGGCACCCCCAGACTCTATACGTCCGTATTTCCTTCTTCAAAGTGGGAACGTCAGCCTGCTGCTCATCAGTGATCATCAACCCAGGCATGAGGTGTGTGCTAAAAGATTAAAATACACTGAGGGATGTCGCACCTCCGATCACATCTTGGAAAGCGCTAACAAGCCACCCTTGGTGTTCACCTCTCAGTGGAGCCAGAGGTGGGCTCTTGCCTACTGCTGGGAGGGGGCCCAGGGTTGTGTACACACCGGCCCCCCCGCACCTCAAGGAAGTCTCTGAGTTGGTGTCGGGGGATGACCAAACTGGCCAGAGGAGAACACTGCCATTTGGCCTAGGGCCTCTGAGTGAGCCCTGCTCAGCTTCTCAGAGCTGACCCAGGTCAGGACAGGGTGTTAGTCAGTCTGGTTTCTTGAAGTTGTAAGCAATATAAAAACCCAATCTGAATCACCTTAAGCCACAACAGCGGTGTTGCGTTAAGGGTTCCAGAAACAGCTCAACTCAGGAGGCTGTAACCATGACAGGCTGGTTTGTGTCTCTTGACTTTGTTCCGTCATGGCAACCCACAGTCCGACACCAGCATGGAGTCCCGGTAGAAAAAAAGAGGGCCACGTATACGCGTGGAGACATCCCAGGGCTGCCTCCGGTTGGGGCTGAGTGCCTTTCCCTGAGCGCCGATTCCAAACCCAAACCAAACTCACTGCCATGGAGTCAGTGCTGATTCACAGCGACCCCCTGTGGCTTTTCAAGACCGGGACTGTTGATGGGAGTAGAAAGCCCACTCTCTCTCCTAAGGAGCTGCTGGTGGTTGCGAACTGCCGACCATGTAGATCGCAGCCCAATGTGTAACCACTATACCACCAGGGCTCCTACGTGACCAGGCCTAAGTGACGAGTCCTCTCCCCCACCCCAGGCCAGGAAAGCAGGCAGCTCTAGACAAAGCTCACAGGAATCTAGTGCTGGTGAGAATATGCCCCGGCAAAGAACCACAAATAAGCCCTGCAGAGAAGGACGCTCAGGATGGGCTCTCCGCAGGTGGGCAGTAGAAACAACTTGTGCCCCTTGGAAGGAAAAGTGGTATGAGACTCTCCTGCCTCAGCAGGCCAAGTCTCTGCTCTGTTTGATCTTCCCTCTCAAGCAGGGCTTCGGTGCTGTCTCATCTGCACCCCGTTGCACTTCCAACTCCCTGTTTGGCTCCGTGGGGAGAACAACTGGTGTGAGCTCATTGAAGACCTGGAAGACAGTTGACGGAAGTCTGCCTTGGAGCGCACATGCCCCACTACACCCCACCGGTCATGACTCACGTGACCCCACATGGGTCAGAGTAGAACGGTGCAGTATTGGGGCTTTCTGAGGTTATTTTATAAATACTATTGATTGGGTTTTCGGTGAAGGCTTACACAACTGTTTAGGTTCTCAAAGACTGGCTTTTTGGAAGTAGATCGTCAGGCCTTGTGTGCGGCCAGGTTGCCTAGAGAAACAAATCCAGTGACGCTCACATGTGTCAGAGAGAGCGTGATCTCAAGAAGTCATTCTACATCCAGCGAGCAACTCCCAGCCCAGTGCAGATCCAGGTGGAAGTCGATACCCGTCCATAAGTCCCTCTCCAGACTCATGCAGCCCCATGCATGATGCAGAAGGCAGGAAGACCCCAGGCTGGTGGGCGCAGCAGAGCTGTGTGGGTCCAATGACGGGGGCTGCATCACAGGAAAGTGAAGGCAGAGGGGGCAGGGGACCTGCCGCCAGAGAGACATTTATCCTGGTCGCACCTCCAGAGGAAGTCATCAAGCTGAGACCTGACTCACAGGCTAAACTCCACCCATATCTTCTCTCACAGGCTAACTAACGCTCCCAGGCCTTTCTTCCAAGATGCCCCTGGGGGACTTGAATCTCCAGCTTTTTAGTTCGCAGGTGAAGTGTGTAGGCGATGTCCTCTACCCCAAACTCGGAGCGATCCCCAAACTCAGGTTCCTTCTAAGGGACTACGTTAATAAAAGGACTATCTGTACCTAATGTGGGCGGGGGAGATATGGAGGCTGAGAACACAGGTTCTCTGGTTCAGATGTAGGTGCTGACACGACCCCTTTGGGAGGCCCCTCCCGGTGAGGCTATCTTGGAGAACGAAGGTGGTGACGATGCCAGGCCTGATCCGGTTCCACTATTTTCCCTCCGAAGCCTAGCAGCTGGGGACCCGCCTCCCAGTGTAAGCCACTGGGCTCCAGAGTGCCCTTTTGTCCCTGTGGAGAGAGAAACTTGCACATGTGGGGGAGTCCCTCTGCCCCTGCCGACCACAGTATGCACCTCACACCTGGGTTCCCAGTTTCCTGCCTCGGGGTCCCCAGAAGCAGCGTGCTGTGTGAGAGACCATGGGCTGCTTTGGACATAGATGCTGCCCCCCTGAGTGAGGGGGCCTTCTGACATGGGGGCCCCTCTTGCCAGGCATCCTGCAGCCGCTGCATGGGGTAAGGGGGGAAAGCCCAGCACCTGGAGGAGCAGCCTGAGCCCTCAGACTTCCCAGCCCCGTGGTAGAGCCTGAGAACAAAGCCCCTTTGAGACTTTTGTTTTGATTCAGGCTTGTGACAAAGGGGAGGAGCCAGTTGGGGGTGGGGGCTTGGGGAGTGAGCAGCTTTGATGCAGGGGAAGAAAACAGGAAAAAGAATCTCTCTCTCCCCCCCCTTTTCCCTCCCCCATGTCGCATTGCCATCCATGCCCTCAGCTCTGCGAACGGCGGGATTTCGGAACGGCAGCTTGGGAAGCAGGCCTAGCGCTCCATTCAGGAGCAACGTGTATCATCCCACTGAGATGGCCGTTGTGCTCAACGGCGGGACTGTAAGTATCAAGAGGTGATGTGTTGTCAGGAGGCCTAAGTGTGTCCTGTGCTGGGGAGCAGCGTCGACAGGAACAGGATGCTCTGGGCGGCTCTGTGGACACACTGCAGCTAGAATGCATGCCACGCTTCCGACTTCTCTCCGGCCCTTTCTGCACGCAGGGAGGACCCACCTCTATGTAGCCAACGTCCCCGGACTCCTCCCGGGGCCCAGGGTCCTGAGGGCTCTTGCAGCCAGTGTGAATTATTTGGCTTCCCTTAGTCAGTGCCTGGACACCCCCGCCCCCCCCCCCAACCAGGTGACTCCTGGGAAACACTGGGGCACTTCCTGCTTAATGTACGTTCCCTTCCCTGGGCTCCCCAAATCTGTGTGGCCCTGCTGGGCTCTGACCTCCCCACCCTCCCTTGCTGGGCCCCACTCCCTGCAGATGTCTTTAGACATTGAAATGATTCCCAAGCCTCCAACCAAGCACACACCAACAAAAGTAAGGAAAGAAAGGGGGCAGATCCGGGGTCCCTGAATCTGATGCCAAACAGACGAAGCACAATTGTTACTGTTCACATTATTTTCCTCCATGGAATGACATCATTTTCTCCTACAATTCCAAAACGCACCCTCATCCCCTCTCTGCAGACATAGCTGCATGCTTCTTTCAGAAAGGGCGCCTGATCCAGTTAACATGTGCCCACTGGGTTCCATTCTTTCTGTCATGTGCCAGTTCCATCATTCAGCCTGAGCATTTCCTTTGCATGGAAGCTGGGGTTGGGCTTGGGCCTCCAGCAGGAAGCCCTGGTTTTATTTGGGGAACATAGGTTTCCATAGCCTGCTGAGTGTGGCAGGCTAGGAGTGGTTTGGAAAGGGCTATAGGACACACCGATCCACAGATGTGGGTTGTTTGGGCCCCCTGCCAGCCACTGGGCTGGTTTATTGTCAGGTGCTAAGAATAGCGGGGCCCTGACTCACCAACACGTGGCCTGGGAGTTACAATAAACATGGGTCAGAAACTGCCCATCGGTCACTTCCCCAGCCCTCCCTATCCTTCAGGGCCCTGGACCTGAAAACACCCGGATGTAGAAAGAGAAGTGAGTTTGGGGGTCACCTCTGGGTGAGAGGTGGAGAATTCTAGAAAGAGGAGACATCCTTCATAAGAAGGAGCTGCCGTGCACTGCGGCTGCCGGCAGGTTTTCTTTGGGCTCGCCCAGCTCGGCCGGGTCTGACCCAGTGAGCCATTCTCGGCCACACTGCCACGAGCCCCTGGGAATGTTCCCTTCGCCGAGCGCAGTGTTCTTAGTATCTTATCCTTGTTTCCAGATCCCAACTGCTCCGCCAAGTTACACTGGAAGACACCTCTGGTGAAAGGCTTACGTTCCAGAGAATAAGAATCTCTTACCGATTTTATTCCCTGGCCGGCCGTGTCTTTCTTGAGGGAGGAATCAGTAACAGGAGCCGCACAAGGCCACCCCACAGCCAGGAGATTTGGAAATCCTAGCTGAGGGGCCTTCGAGTAAATGTGAACACTGCTGAACCGAAAAGCTAACCCTGACTGTCCTCCCCCAGCCGCCACACACCTGCAAACACCCCCAAACCAAGCGCAAGCCCCGCCAACTAAAGCCGAGCTCATTGCAAATAGGCTTAGGCCCGCTTTGGAAACGTGGCTCCGAAGACCAACTCATCCGGGGTTCGAGCAGAGCCAGCCAGATTCACAGCCGCTGGGCCAGGCTGCTGGTGGGACATCAAGGCCTCCATCCTCCTAACCCAGCAAGTGCACCTTCCGCCCCCTGGGGCCTTGCAGGGAGAGGACCCTCCCGACCGTGGCAGGGAGAGGTCACAGGAGCAGTGAAGGAGGGTGTGGGTGTGAGTCTGAGACCAGGGATCCTGGCAGGGTGGGGTGAGCTGTACAGCCCGGTGTTACTGGCAGGACCCAGGCAGGTGCCAAAGAAGAGAAGATTCTCACGTGACTGTCAGATGTCAAAGACGGTGGTCCACAGCCACTGCCCCTTCTGCGGGTCTCCTCCCTAAGGCCCACGGCAAGGAAGCCAGCCCTCCCTCCCTCCCTGGTAGAGCTGCAGAAATCCTCTGGGGAGGGGCAGCAGGCAGACGACAGCCCCTTGGCCCGCTCTGCTCTACCAGGCCTGGGGCCACTCCAGGCCCCTCCCTGGGTTTATTTCCACGTTCCTTACAAACGCTCAAATGGGCCACCAGCTTGAAGACCCCCGGGGCCAGTAGACCTTCCCAGGGTGCCTCCTGGAGGTCTGCCAGGCGTCCAGTTCTTGGTCTTTGGGGTGGCGGCTCCAGAGGGCAGGGTTTCCCAGGGGGAGGGAGGGTGATCTGGCTGCTTTGGGAGTGGGGGTTGAGGTACATCAGACCATGGTTGTCTTCCATTTCCACGAGAACGGTTCTCCAAGCCCACTGTCTGTCATGGCTTCCATGTGTCCTGAGCCGGTCACTCCATCACCGCGTGGCATTTCCAGCATCTCGGCCATTCAGCGCCCCATGTCCTCTGCACTGTTTGGCTAGCATAATCACTAGGCGAGTTACAGGGTTTTATTTTAACCTTGGAATGTATGCCCGAGGGTGGGTCCCTTTTGCATATCCGCTAATCACCTCGATTGCTTTTTTTTTTTTCTTTTCTGTAAAACCACCCATAAGCCTTTAACCTTGAAAAGAAAACGAAAAAGGTTCGTGATTTGAGGGGGAAATGACCTCTTCACACGCCAACATGTCTGAGCTGAAAATGTTCTAATAAACCTGACCTTGCTCAAGGCCCCGTCTCTGCTGTGTCCCCTCCCGGCTCCCTGCCGCTCTCCCTGCGGGGCACTGGGGAAACCGAGGCCAGCCCGGTGGCCAGCATATTTCCAGCATACTTGTCTGCCTGCACATGGAGGAGCGCGCGCATGGCACCCAGGCTGCCCCCGCCCAGAGCATGTGCTTGCTTCTAGACAATCCGATTTCAGGCCTCTGATGAGTGACACTGAGTGGACCGAAACGCGTAGTATCGGGGAGGGCCATGCCTGGCGGGGGAAGCGGGGGGTTGCCTGCAGAACCAGTGTCTTGGGATGTAGGGTCTGCACACACCTCGCTCTAGCCTGCTGCAAAACGACCACCTTACACGTTCTCGTGCCAGGAAATGGCTGCTCAGCCCCGATCCCTGGAGACCTTTGGAGCTCTCTGACCCTGCCCGCCAGCGACTCCGTCTCCGGGCCACCCCACCCCACCCTGCCCAGGGAGCCTGCACAGGCTCGTGCGCTCTCAGTTCTCTGTTGCCCGGCCCCACAGCGGTAGCGCAGCCGGAGTGGTGACGAGTGGCGCGACACTCCCAGAAGGAGACGCACACAGCCCTCTGCCGTTGCTCATCCCTGGGTTCTGGCTCCGGTGGGGCAGAGGGCCGGGCACTGGGAAAGGGCAAGAACTTGATTTTGCTAGTGAAGTCACCTGATGAAAACAGACAGCTTTGCCAAAAGGCCGTCTGTGGCAGCCAGCTGCCCCCGGAGCGGAGATTTCAGCACAGGATTCAATGGCACCTCTGTTCAAGATATTTTTGTAACCGAGACTGGGTGGGGGCCGGGGGTGGGGGCAGTGATTGGAAAGACAGCATCTGTGATAAATACCTGATTGTAAGCACAAATCTTTCTGTGTCTGCTTATTAAAATCATGTTGGGACTACAACAGCCACTCTGAGTTCCCATTTCATGGAAAAGTGTCCTTCCATCCCAGATTTGTCTGCTGGCAGTGGAGGGCTGGGGGCGGGGGGCGGCTTTGAGAACTCCCCAGCTGAAAAGGTGTTTGGTGTCTCAAGTGTCTCCAGGTCTTAAGCCCAGCGACTGGAGGTCTGTTGCTTCCACCCCAGGTCCTGGCAGCCCCCTGACGATGGAGGGTGAAAGTGGCCAGGTCTTCACTCAGCAGCTTGTCGGTTGGCTAAGCTGTCAAATGTCTCAGGGCCCAAAGTAGCGAGAGAGCTGAAAGGGAGCATTGTGGCTTTTATAATCCGCTGATGACACCAGCTTACAGTTCTCAGCAGGTGCTTTTTATCCACTGATGAAGAGCCCAGGCTCGTTTTTGACATAATTATATTTATTAAATATATTAATGTGTGTTTTATAGCGTTTCATCTCCCCTGGCTGACTGTTGCATATTTTTTTAAAGCATTCAAGAAATTTCCAGATAATCAATGTGTATCATAAATGAACATGTATAGACATATAGATATTACAAATTTTAAAGGTAAAAAGCATGAGCAGGTAGGTTTTATTTTCAAAATGCTGTTCTTAACACCCAAATAAAGGCTTTACTATTTACGTAAGACGTGTGCTAGCTTGGCAAAACCCCCTAACACAAGTGTGAGGCTGCGGAGTCTGCCTCGGGGCTGAGTCCGGTGTGGAAGCGAGGCTTGGTGAACAGCAAAGCAGAGGGCGGTAAGCAGACGGGTCCCCTAGGCTGAGGCCCGTCCTCTCTCTCATGTGGTCAGCGTTGAACTGTCCCTCCTTGTGGGGTTTGCATTAAGAGCTGTCCGCTTTGGAAATGATCACAAGGATATCTTCTTGGGTTGTTTTTTGAGGAAAGTTGTAGTCACCATGTAAACGGAAAACCCATTTTAGGGAGTTGAGTTTAATTGAAAAAGCAGCTGGGAGCCTGGTAACCAGAGCATTTTCTAAGTCTCTCGGAAGTGGAGTTCATTGGTCAGGTCAGCCGTGGTTGGTGTACAAGGTGCCTGTAGCACGAAAGAGCTGGATGAAATGGCTGGATTGGGGGCAGAAAGGTAAGACTTTGATAATTGTCCTAAAGCGTGTTTGCAATGGGGGTGGGGGTGGGGGGTGGTAGATTCCTGTTTCTTAGAGACCGGGTACCGGTGTGAAAGACGCACATTTTACGAGCATGGGGGCGTGGAGCGCTGGCCGGAAGAGACCCCAGTGGTCCTTAGGATGGTGGACTCGGCTGCATCTGCCTCGTCCTCCTCCATTTTGCTCTTCACTGCAAAGAGATGAGAGCAGAGAGTCAGAGTTGATGTGAGGATCCAGTACCTATCTAGACAGCCTTGGGAATGAGAGCCTTCTGGGTGGCCCAGGAGGCCAGTTGTGCCAAGGCCTACGGAGCACGGACTGTGGCCCCAGCCTGTGGATCCACCAGAGGAGAACACGCTTCCAGTGGTGCTCACGGCCTTTCTGAACTCCATTCAGGGAAAGGTCAAAAGTGTGCTTTGCAGCTTGAAGGGAGTGACGGGCGGAAATGTTACTCCAAGGTCGTGACAGACTCCAGGCTCTGGACTCAGTCCAGTCTGTCACTGCTCACCCTGCCACCCCCCAATTAGACACTCGGTCTATCACTGGGGTCATCTGTCAAGGGCTAGACAGGAACTTGATCCAGGTGATTTCCTGAGGCTGCCAACAGGAAAGTTGGCCAAACGCAGCCTGGTTTATGAGAGAGAAATCCCACACAAATGAAAGAGCCTACCGGGTAGATCTGACAACCCCAGATCCATGGGGAGTGGGTAGGGATGTAGTCTAAAAGACCCTCGTGTTTCTAATTTGCTTGGCTCCAGAATTCAAGTGCTTGCCTCAGGAGCTAATGCCTGGAAGGTGGTTCTGCACAGGCCTCTGGGCCCGGCTGTGTGTGGAGAGCATTGTCCACAGGCTGTTGGGGCTGTTGCCGGGCAGCGGCGGCTTCAGTCAGGCCTGTCACCTGACCTCCAGTGACCAGTGGCACCAGCCAGAGGAGGCACCGGGAAGGTCAACATCTGCGGTGCCGCACACAGTGCAGTCCCAGTGAGACCCATGAGAGCCGCACTGGAAAGGATGGCTTGCTCTGCAATGTCGGTCCTGGGCAGGGTGCAGGGTCACCACTGCCAACATTTGTTTGAGTGGGCAATGTTAGCGCTTCCCTTCTCTGGCGGGTTTCCACCATAACCAGATTCCGGCTTTCACAGGTTTCACTGTATGGATGGACTGTGGTCAGCTGTGAGCCCAGCAGACTTCAAACTGTGGGCCCCCCTCATCACTGGGGGAACCCCGCTTCCAGGCCTTCACCTTCCATGGGAATCCTTGCAGTGTCCGCAGCCCTCTCTTCCATGGATGAAGTCGGGTCTACCACACCCCATCCTGAAGGTCACCCCACTGTAAATAAATGCCCCGGGTAAAGCCAGGGAAGTGGAGGAAGGAGGCCCTGAAGTCACCTCTATTCTCCGTGTCTCAATGTTTTTAACAGTTGGAGCCTGTTGGTCATAGGACTTGTGTGTGTGTGTTTTCAGTGAAAATTGTCCCTTACATAACAAAACCTGCGACAGCTGGAGCCATGTAAGAGAAGGGCCATGCAAATACGTCCCATAAAACAAGTAGTGGGGAATTAGTAGGACTGCACTCTGTCACCCACTGGAGACCGCGGCCTCCAGACTCCCTGCCCTCCCAGATGCCACCTCACGTACAAGCCCTGCAGGCAGCTGCCGGCATCCCAGAAACGGGACGCGGATGCGCTGCTGAATGTCCCACAGCCCAGGCCGAAGGGAGGCCCTGATGTGTGGCATTTGCCAGTTTCCACTGCAGGTGTCAAGCTGCCGGCAAGACCACAGGACACAGATGGGACCAGATGTGCACGCTTCCATGGTGCCAGCCCCAGCACCCCATTAAGGGTGTGCACTAGGTGCTTTGGGAACATTGGGCCTGTTTTTTTGGTGGGGGTCCTCTTTTTTTTTAAATCACTTTATTGGGGGCTCGTACAATTCTTATCACAATCCATCCATCCATCCATCCATTGTCTCAAGTACATTTGTACATATGTTGTCATCATTCTCAAAACATTTTCTTTGTATTTCAGCCCTTGGTATCAACTCCTCATTTTCCCCCTCCCTCCATCCCTCATGAACCCTTGATAATTTACAAGTTATTATTTTTTCATGTCTTACACTGTCTGATGTCTTGGTGGGGGGAGGTTCTCTTTTTTATTAGTGTGTGTGTGTGTGTGTGTGTGTGTGTGTGCGCTTTACAGAGCATTTCCATTTAACAATCCACATGCATCCACACACCAACTCCTATGCTGTTTGCAATCCCCACAGTGGGTCAGCCCCCTCCACCTTCGTCCCTGGGTCCTTCTCTGCTGTCCCCCAGCAACAGAGGCTGCCCTGGTGACCAGTGGCTGGTGCTTCTCTGGAGTGTGTTTCTCCCCACTGTCACAGCCCGTCTTGTCATTTGGGCTTTATGTTGAACCGTGGGGGCATCCGGTCAGTTCCAGGCCCGGAAGATGACTACAGGCCATACTCCCAGGGGTTCCTCCAGTCTCTAGCCAACCACCTCGAGTGTTGGTGCCCATCTTTCTCCCACACTCCAGAACAAGCCATTGTGACCCTTTTCCCAGTGGTCACCCACAGGAGCCCGATGCCCAGGTGGCCTGTCGGTCCCGCAGGTGAATGGTTCCTTGCGTCTCTCCTTTTCTAAACACTCCTTTGCTCTGAACAGGGGAGACCAGCAGCTCACAGACACAGGGCACCTTAGATGACCACTCATAAGTCTCCTAGACCTCGCTGGCTGCTCACCAAAGTGAGATAGGGGCACTGTCTTTGTGGACTGGTCTACTGGTTGCCTCTGCTGTCTTCCAAGACGCGGTCCTGAGCCCCCAGGCCCAGCAACTCAATCCTTCCAGGCGTCTGTTGATGGCTAAGATGTTGTCCTAACATGGTCCCCTCGGTGCTCAACTATGTTGTTGCTAGGGGCCTTCCTGCTCGTAGGGACCCTGCGTCCAACAGAAGGCAGCACCACTGCCCCGTCCCGCGCCGTCCTCACAATGGCTCAGCTATAGTCATGGATGTATGTACAGTACACATAAACACATGTGTGGAAAGACCCTGCCAGACCCATGTGTTCTCAGGGCTCTCGTTCCATTTGAGCGGCATAACTTGAAAGCTCCAAAGGTAGTTGGGGGCCCAAGTTCCTGGACAGCACTGGCGGTTTGTGTGGGAGAAGGACCAAAGGTTGGACTGCTACCCACAGGTTTGTAGTTCAAACCCATCAGCTACTCATCAGGAGAAGCATGAGGCTGTCTGCTCCTGTAACGATTTTCAGCCTTGGGAACCCTGAGTCAGAGTGACTGAGTGGCGCTGCCTTTGGTTTGGTTGACAGTGTGAACCCACCCAGCTGTGCCTGGTGATGGGCTTCTAGAAAGATCATCACCGAGAAAGCCCACGGGGCCCACCTCGCTAACACTGGAGGTGCAGTCTGCCTGGCTGTGGTATAACAAGGCCCCCCTCCCACCAGCCAGGTGGTTACTTTTTAAGGATAATTTGTTGTGTTTGGGGTAAAACTTTACACAGTAAATTAGGCTTCGATTGGACAGGGTTTAGACAAATTCATCTTGGTTACAGTTTTCACAGGCTGTCAGCAGTCTGGTTGTTCTGTCCCCACTGGTCAAGTTTCCCTCGATAGACCGCCCTTGCCTTCTCATCTCTGCTTTGGGGTAAATGTTGACCATGTGGTCCCATTCCCATACATATGACTGTTTAAGGGGGCACATTACTCAGGGGTGATACTGTCTATTGTGTAAGCCAGGCTATTATTTGGCTGAAAGGTGACCTCCAGAATAGCTTGCGCTCCAAGTTCAAAGGGCATCTTAAAGTGGATAGGCTCAGGGGTCCATCTAGCCTGTCGGTCTAGGAGACCTGGCTTTAAAAAAAAGTTTTGAATAGTGTTCTACATTTTTCTTCCACTCACACTGGCCCTTCTCTTTGTCCTGGGCGGTTGTGGTAGCCAGGTGCCATCTAGTGCATGTGGGCTTTCAGGCGTGAGCTGTGCCTGATCCAAGCCATAGCACCTCCTATCACCTCTTATGCATGGGCCGTCACTGACCAAAAACGATCGATGCCTGTGACATTCAGCGTTGGTGAGGGGTACTGAAGACAGCACAGGTTGCCAGAAGAATGAACAGGTATGTTTTGGGAAAGGACAACCAGATGCTCCTTAGAACAGACGATGGCAAGCCCTCCTCTCGTTCACTTTGGACATGTGATCAGGAGGGCTCGGCCCCTGGAGAAGGGGATCGCGGTTGGAAAGTAGAGATTTGGTGGAAAAGAGGAAGAAACAATGACTACGGCAGCAGTTTATTACTCAACAGTCAGTTGGGGCGGAGGGAGGTAGGATTTGAGTGAGGTGACCCTTGTCTAGCACAGTAGAGAATGTCTCGAGCGAGCAGAACAAGTCTGTTCGCGATGGGAGGAGACACGGGGGGCCCCTGTCCCTGCTTCTGTTGTTGTTAGGTGCCATCAAGTCAGTTCTGACCCACAGCAGCCTCGTGCACAACACAAGGAAACCCGCCCCACCCTGTGCCCTCTGCATAATTGTTCCTGTGCCTGAGCCCCTGTGCCCTGTAGTGTGGTGTCCTTTACATCTTTTTCGACCAAAGACCTTTGCACCACAATGACTTTGCTGCAAATTAGGCAACAAAGGCTCTCCTGGTGGAGCCGGTGGGTTCTAATGCTCCCTGTTTGACCTCCTGGTCTCTGGAACAGAGCCTTGCACAGACAGATGAGCCAGCAGGTGAGAGGAAGGCAGCTTTTGTTTGGAACATCCCCTTGAACACTGACAGATGCCTCACAGTGCCCCTGCAGCATCCTTGGCCCCTGAGCAGGCTGGTCCTTGGCCAATTCCAAAAGGTCAGGTGAGTGGAAACCCGAGCAAGGTGCCAGCCCTTCAGCCTCAATGCACCAAGGTAACCAGAAAAGCCCGGCTGACTGATAAGACCTGCCTCCATTGGCTCTGGGCGGGAATCCCATCCTTGATCACAGTCAGTGAGGAGCTGAATGAACTCCTCCTGCAGGGGTAACAGGGCACTGGCTCAAAACACAGATTCCTGGGCACTGCCTTGGACCTTCTGGGTCAGAATCTGCAAGAGTGGGGCCTGGAAATCAGTCAGTCTTCCTCACCCCAATGCCCCCACCCCGTGCCTCTGTGATCTTTGGAATCTAGTGGGGTGGGGGGAGTGTATCATTCAGC